TCCCGCCCCCGCCCCCCCGCCCCCAGCGCTATCCCTTTTCTCACCTGCCCCGACCACTCCCTGGCCTCCTCTTCCTCTGTCTGGATCCTGAGCCCCAGCGCCCTGGGGATCTGCCCTGGCGCCCACCCCGGAGTCTACCCTGCTCCGCCTTCTCGCTACAGGCCAGTTCAGTGGAGCAGCTGCGGAAGGAGGGCAATGAGCAGTTCAAATACGGAGACTACGAGGGCGCCCTGTCCGCCTATACCAAGGCCCTGAGTCTGGACGCGGCGTCCCAGGACCAGGCCATTCTGCACCGGAACCGGGCTGCCTGCTACCTCAAGCTGGTGAGCGAGCCAGGCCATCCCCGCCCTGGCGGCCCGGTTTGCCCCGACTGAACCTTCACTTTGCTAGCCCACCCACACAGTCAGATATTTTTGAGGCTAGGAGTGATGGGGGATCGATCAAGTGACTCTGGAAACCAGGAGACCCTTTGTTGCCAGCTAGTGCCCGAAAGGGAGGTGGAGGAGCAGCTTCTCAGGCGCCTGCTCTCTCTTACAGGAAGATTATGGCAAAGCGGAAACGGAGGCATCCAAAGGTGTGTGGGCCTGGTGCCGAGCTGCGGGCTTTCGGTGGTGGGCAAGGACTGGGGCCACTGCGCCTTCACCTCTTCTCCTCTGGCACGAGACACATCTGCCTTCTTTTCTTCCCCACCTCCTGGGCCATCCCCTTTTCTACAGCTTTTCCGAGGCTGAAGCATCGAGCCCAGCGTCCGTCCCCCCCTCCTTCCTCTGGCTCTACAGACCTTTCCCTACTGTTTCTGCCTGGAGATGGCGGCTTCCCCGGGGCTGACCGTGCTCCTGTTTATGCTCAGCCATTGAAAAGGACGGCGGGGATGTCAAAGCCCTTTACCGGCGGAGCCAAGCCCTAGAGAAGCTGGGCCGCCTGGACCAGGCCGTCCTGGACCTGCAGAGATGTGTCAGCCTGGAGCCCAAGAGCAAAGTGTTCCAGGAGGCCCTGCGGACCATCGGGGGCCGGATTCAGGAGAAGGTATGCCAGGGGCCGAGGGAGGCGGAGGGGGTCGAGGGCTCCGGCTCTGTGAGAGGAGATGCTGGTGGCAAAGAAGGGTATAGAAAGATGCGTGATCTCGCCAACGATCAGGAAGAAATGAATTACAGTCACAGTAACGTCCTTTTTTGGAGGGGGAGGGTTGGCAGGAAAACTTGAGTTTGTCCATGTTTCCAGGAGGAGGGAGAGGGCAGACAGGTCGTGAGTTCCAGGTCACAAGGAGGCGTGAACTAGTACGGCCCCTTTGGAGGGGGCTTTCACCTCTGTGAAGGAGCTGGGTGCACAGGGGGCTAAACACTGGATTAGGAACCAAAGACCAGCAGTGCACACTCACCAGCTGCCCCAAGGGAGGGGGATGAGGCGCTGTGCTCCAGTAATGGTTTACAGTGTTGAGAAGCCCAAGGAGCAGCGCTCCATGGCCCTCTTGGGTCAGTAAGGGTCGGAATGGATTGGAATGGCTTCCTTGGCAGCAGCAGCAGCTCTGATTTGTCTGGGATGTTCGCATCTGTTACATTGTAAACAAGCAAACCTTTGTTGACTACCCCACAGGAACCTGGCCCAGCGCACAGGTAGGCAGGCGCCCGCTTATTCCAGCCTGGCTGGTGGTCACCAGATACTGCAATGCCCAACAGTAGGGCAGCAGCATTGTTACAGACTCTGGTATCAGCAGGAATCAGATCCATGCATGTTGATGTGGAAAGCGCACGACAGCTGTTGAGTGAAAAAGCCAATGACAGGATCAAACTGGGGGGAGGATGCCATTTGCTCTCCCACAGACTCACCCAGAACAGCACCACTGAATTTCCTGCAGGTACCTTCTTGGATGTGTAAATATCAAGAAGAAGAGAAAAAATATATATATACATATATATGTATATATATATATATAACTTTTATATATCCATAAAAGACAGGATACTACAAAATGCTCGCTGTGGGTCCCTTGAGACAGGAGTGCAATTGAGAGAGCTTTTCAAAGGAGACTGTCTCATATGGGGGTTTGGTCTTGTTACGAAGGGAGGGTATCTGTATGATACATGTAATTGAAAATTGTGTCGAAGGGATCTAAAGACATGGTGAGCTATAACCAAGTTGAAATTAACCAGGTAACAGATGTGCTATGATTGATTAGTCATGTCTGCTGTGGATGTAAACGGGGAAGGAGGTGACACACATACTTGGCATACATCATCCGTTCCCAGGACTCGAGAAAGGTAGAGGGCCTAGAATGATCTTAAATTATTTGAGAAGCTGTCAAATGGCAATTCAGAAGCTGAAAGGGGGTGTTTGCAGCGCACCCATGGGCTGCCTGCCAAGTTCAGTACCACATGGGGTACACATGTGTAGCCATGCTCCCACAACCTCTGTGGCACCATGGGGAGTGGGTTCCGCCTGGATAACTGGACTCGCCCCCTTCTGAAAGGCACGTCTTACCCCAGCTGCCCATCCAGGAAGCAGCTCAGAAAGGAACGCAGCCCACGGGAAGTTGGGGAGGAGCTGCCAGGCGAGTCTCTTCTTGCCCAAGGAGGGTTGGTGCCATGCCTGAGCCCAGACAGCCTTGCTGTGCCTCCAGAGACAGTGCGGCCAGAGGAGCCAGCAAAAACAAGCTGGATTGCTTGTCCCTAACTGCGGGGCAACTTCTTGCGCACATTGCTGGTCTGTCGTAGGTGCGATACATGTCCTCGACGGATGCCAAAGTGGAACAGATGTTTCAGATCCTACTGGACCCCAAAGAGAAAGGCACAGAGAAAAAACAAAAGGTATAAAAACCCTGGGGCGAGCCTGAGAGGGCTGAATTCCCACGAGAGAGCGCTGCTTATTCTGAGCACCCTCCTGTGGCTGATGTTGGCCCAGAGGCCCTGCTGGCCTGGGGGGGAGCTCCAGGGCGGTGAACACAGAGAGGAACTGAGGTTGATAAGAGTGCCTTGTTGGCAGGCCCAGTGGCAGCAGGTAGGGTGTCAGTGGTGACCGGGGCACCCACCGTTCTTGTGCCTGTCCTCAACACAGGCTTCTCAGAACCTGGTGGTGCTGGCCCGAGAGGATGCTGGAGCGGAGAAGATCTTCCGGAGCAATGGGGTGCAGCTCTTGCAAGGACTGCTGGACACGGGCGAGACCGACCTGATGCTGGCCGCTCTGCGCACCCTGGCTGGCATCTGCTCTGAGCACCAATCCCGGGTAGGTGGGAGCAAGGTTACTGCTTCTGTCAGTCTGCCCACCATCCATCCATTCAGCCGCTCTCTCATTCCAGAAAGAACTGAAAGCGGTATGTCCATTTCCTTGGCTGCCTCGAGGAAGTATCACGAGCTGGGTGGTTCAGAGCAATGGAGGTTGACTGTCCCAAAGCTCTAGGGGCCAGGCCTCCAAATTCAGGGCATCGATCGGCAGGACTGTGCTTTCTCTGAACCGTCAGAGACTGCCCCTCAAGGTCATGTTCACCGGCAGGGGGCGGTGTCCAGTTCGTTAGCAGAGTACCCAGGACGTTTAACAAGAGCACTTGACTCCTCTTGTCCACACGTTGACCGCAGGCACCTGTTTTTGCTCTGCAGGTCACGCTAGCTTTTCCCTTGCTGTGAGGATGTTCTCGCTGGTGGGAGGTGTGGGCAGTGATGTCACCCACAGCATCTTACCTTTGAGGCAGTGCACAGGCCTGGAGAGGCTGACCTTGAGCTGATTCCGGGAGAGACAGGATTTCACAGCAGGAGGCAGTGCGCCCTGGGGCCAGTGTGCTCTGGTGACCCAGACCTGTTGCTCTTGCCTGAGATGGTTTCACCCAGGAGACGGGCCGTCGAGAGGAGGCCACGGCGCCTGGCTTGAGCGGATCTTTGAGATGCTCCCTGAAAGCAGGCCAAGCTCAGCCTCCAGGGCAGTGGTTCTCAGCTCTCCTAAGGCTGCCACCCTGGAATACACTTCCTCGTGTGGTGGGCGTATCTGCATGTGGGCAGACCCGCCTGGAGCAGCATCTCAGTCCCTAAAAGTATTGGAAATATGGCCTTAGGCGGCCCTTGTGAAAGGGTTGTTCGACCCCTGAAGGGGTTGAGACCCCCATGTGGAGAACCACTGCTCTAGGGGATAAGAATGGTAAACCCCACACCCAGAGGTGTCTTCTGGCTTTAGCCCCATCCTGCCCATCCCCCTGTGAAGAGCTTAGACCCAGCATAAAAATGGGGTGATGCATGCCCATGTCCACAGGGCGTGGACAGGACCTCAGGCTTGGGCCTGGGGTAGAACCGGGTGCTTGGGCCTAACAGAGCTCTGTCCAGGTTTCTGTCTTCTTCCCGAGGAGACCTGGGCCAGAGCAGCTGCTCTCAGGGCCACAGCCATCCTGGTCTCCTCTGTCGGAGCGGCTCCTCTGGAAAGTTTTCTTCAGGAAGCCTTTCCAACGGGACCCAGGGGCACACTCGCAGACAGACCACTTTGTGCTCACCCGCAGCCACTCCTTCGGCCCAAGTCGTTTGTCACCCTTGCGGACTCACAGTGAGGGGTCTCTGGCTGAGCTGACTAGCAGGTGCCTCTGTCCTCTCTCCACACAGACAGTGGCCACCCTGAGCGTGCTGGGCACTCGGCGCGTTGTCTCCATCCTTGGCGTGGAAAACCAGGCCGTGTCCCTGGCGGCATGCCACCTGCTGCAGGTGATATTTGATGCCCTCAAGGAAGGCGTTAAGAAAGGCTTCCGAGGGAAAGAGGGCGCCATCATCGTGGGTGAGTGGAGTGGGCTGTGGTCCGCGGGCGGACCCAGTGAGGGGTGGGTCTCGGGCTGGCCAACAAGGCCAGCTCTGGGACCAGACACCCAGCTGCCACTTGTTCAGGAACAAGTCTTGGGGACAACATTTTACTCCACATTCTAAGCAACTGGGGGGCGAGGGGGTGGTGGTGTCTGAGGTGACCTCTGGAGCGTGGCCTGGTACCCAAGGTACAGATGCCCACCTCCCTGTGTCTCCCTGGCCTGTTGGGCCGCCACGGCCCCCTGATGTCTCTGGTTGGCAGATCCTGCCCGGGAGCTGAAGGTCCTCATCAGTAACCTTCTGGAGCTGTTGACTGAGGTGGGGCTCTCAGGCCAAGGCCGAGACAACGCCCTGACCCTCCTGATCAAAGTGGTGCCCCGCAAGTCTCCTAAGGACCCCAACAACAACCTCACCCTCTGGGTTATTGACCAAGGTATGTGACACGTCTGAAACAGACTGAACCTGTGTTGCCCGCTTACCCGCATGTTAGAAGCTGTGATGGTCCCCAGACAGGATGTGTCTGCGTTGACATGCCCTCTGTGGCCTGTACGGTCCTTGTGGGAACTCCCCCAGACCCTTCAGCCCTGTACTCATGCACGTGCCACACACACACACACACACACACACACACACACACACGTGTCAGGCCCGCATGCGTACCCCTGGAGAGGCAGGCGAGACTGGACCAGCTTCCTGGGAATGAGGGTTATTTCTGTAGTCGGGGAAATCAATCAAGTCTGACATAGAAACCCACATGTCCCTTCGCCCTGAGAGAGAGATGGCAGAACACCTCCGCTGCAGGCCTTGCATGCTGGAGCCCAGCTGCGGGCTGCTCCTCCTCCCCTGGCCCTGGTGTGCCCCAACCCCGAGAGGCGGGCTGTGATCCTCCTTTTCACGGACTGGGAACAGCAAGCCCTGGGGCCTGGGGCCCCGAGTAGCTGTGGTCACCCTAGCTTCCGAGGGTCCCTCTGATGGCCCAGCTGCCTCCCACTGGCCCCCAGCCCCTTTGCCAGGCCCTGGCTCCATGGGTCCGACTCCAGCCTGACTTGGGACCAAGGCAGCCCTCATCTCCCGTGCGTCTCCCAGGAAACCGCTTCCCTTATCCAAAGGGATTGGGATTGAGTGTTCTCTGGGCTCACCAAGTGTCTTTTCAGGTCTGAAAAAGATTCTGGAGGTGGGGGGCTCCCTGCCGGACCCTTCTGGGGAGCCCGCGGTGACCGCCGGCAGCCGCATGAGTGCCTCCATCCTCCTCAGCAAGCTCTTCGACGACCTCAAGTGTGATGCCGAGAGGGAGAACTTCCACCGGCTCTGTGAAAACTACATCAAGTGAGGGGGCGGGCGGGGCTCCAACCAACTTTCCGAGGCTTTGGGGAGGGGCAGCACCGCGCTGAAAGGGAGAGTGACCTTGGGTGGTCCCAAGGCCCTTTCTCGGTCCACAGTGACTTCAGCCAGTGTGGCTCGGCATGTACTTTGTGTACCTGGGATGGTCGTACCTTTCAGGAGCCTCACGTCTGGGGAAAGACCGAGCATAAGACATTGCGATGTGGATGGGAGGATGTCGGATGGCAGGCGGTTCAGGAGAGAAAACGCAGTGGGGCGGCGTGGGGCGTTAGGTGGGGTGTGATGAAGGCAGGCAGGGATAAAGGCACCCCAGCATCTGTGCCTGCTGGCAGCTTGTCTTAAGGATGCTGCCCAAGTCTGGTCTCGGCCTGGCCAGGGGAGGGGCGCGGGGAAGGGTCATCCTCTTGAGCTGCTCATGGTGGGACAGCTGTCGCCCTGTGCCCCTCAGGAGCTGGTTTGAGGGCCAAGGGCTGCCCGGGAAGCTGCGGGCCATCCAGACGGTGTCCTGCCTCCTGCAGGGCCCAAGTGAGGCCGGCAACCGGGCCCTGGAGCTGGGTGGCGTCATGGAGAGCATCCTCGCGCTGTGCGGCTCGGAGCAGGAGGAGGAGCAGCTGGTGGCCGTGGAGGCCCTGATCCACGCCGCCGGCAAGGCCAAGCGGGCCTCCTTCATCACCGCCAACGGTGTCGCGCTGCTCAAGGACCTGTACAAGCGCAGCGAGAGGGACAGCATCCGCATCCGGGCGCTGGTGGTAGGCTGGGGCACCAGCAGACCCAGGGGGATATTTGGGCCCGGAGCCTGGTTCTTTGACCCCAGGGGCTGACAGACATATAGCGGGGCCACTTGACGGTAGGACAGCTGTGGCGGCGTGGCGCACAGCGCCGGGAGGAGATGAGGATGGCATGTGGGGGATGCGGCTGACCGTCCAGGAGGGCTGCCCTGGGGCCATGCTGACGTCTTTGGGACGGCAGGGAGTCCCTCCGTGTGGGCACTGCAGCTGTGCACCTTAAAGAAGCGGGTGCTGTTTCCGGGTAGCTTGGCTGTGGCTGAGCACCAGCCTCCCCACGCAGCCTGAGCTCCATGTGCAGAGAGCGCGTCTGAGGTCACGCACGAGGGGACAGGGCAAATCTGGGGCGAGACCCATGCAGGTTGGGAAGGGCTGGGGCCCGGGTCAGTCCAGGGGCTGAAGTGCTGGGCCCCAAGTGCTCATGGCCAGCCTGATGGCCGACTGGCTGCCAGCTGCTCCCTGTGGTGCCGTGGAGTGGGCCAGGGGGCACAGTGCCAGAGAGGGAACCCTGGCAGGTGTGGAGAAGCCCCGCCTGCTGCCCGGTCAGGGATCAGGTGGTCGCCCTCTGCCTGCAGGGGCTCTGTAAGCTTGGTTCGGCCGGCGGGACGGACTTCAGCATGAAGCAGTTTGCCGAAGGCTCCACGCTCAAGCTGGCCAAGCAGTGCCGGAAGTGAGTTGCTGGGGCTAAGATGCCAGGGGTGGGTGGTGCTCCGGCCAGCCCCGGGCGGACTCTCCGGGGTTCCAGCAAGCACGTGGTTTCTGCATGTTGAGGGAGTGCTCAAACCCTTGGTGCTGTCTTCTTGGTCCTGGTGGGGCTCTTCTGGCCCCGGGTCTGATGATCACCCCTGGGCCCCCACTGCCCAGGTGGCTGTGCAATGCCCAGATTGACGCAGGCACTCGGCGCTGGGCAGTGGAGGGCCTGGCTTACCTCACCTTCGACGCCGATGTGAAGGAAGAATTTGTGGAGGACAAGGCTGCTCTGAAGGCTGTGTTCCAGCTCAGCAGGGTAGCTCGGGGGCACCTGGGGCCCTGGCTGGGATGAGCGCTTATGAGGGGGGTGTTGGTGGGAGGAGCGATGGGGCAGACTGCTTCCATGTCAAGATTCAGCCTCGGAAACCCGGGGGGCAGGTCTACTGTGTCCTACAAGGTCACTATAGACCAGTGGCTTTTTCCTAGATGTTCCAGGGAGGGTGGGCAGGTGCGTCCTGTAGCCATTGTGTGGCATGAGGCCAACAGTGTCACCAGCCACCGCCTCTTGAGAGGAGCTGGGAAGGTCAGGGTTGTGAACTCTCAAAGCCCAGGGCTGCTCCCGGACTCCTGCTGCTGCCTGTCCCGGTGCTCCGGCCAGAGGTAGAATGGGGTGCCTGGGCCCTGGCAGGTCGGCCCCACTGAACACCCACCCTCCGCTCCTGGCAGTCGGAGGAGAGGTCGGTGCTCTTTGCGGTGGCCTCGGCGCTGGTGAACTGCACCAACAGCTACGACTACGAGGAGCCTGACCCCAAGATGGTAGAGCTGGCCAAGTACGCCAAGCAGCATGTGCCTGAGCAGCACCCCAAGGTAAGGGCCGGTCATCCCGGCGCGCCGGACAGCAGAGCCTCTCGGTGCAGTGGTTGGGTTTCCTTCGGTGTGGAGAGTCCCCCTTTCCCTGCTGAGATGCCTCCTTCCCCAGGACAAGCCGAGCTTCGTGCGGGCTCGGGTAAAGAAGCTGCTGGCAGCGGGGGTGGTGTCGGCCATGACGTGCATGGTGAAGACCGAGAGCCCCGTGCTGACGAATTCCTGCCGGGAGCTACTGTCCCGGTGAGCCTCCCGGCTCCCAGGCTTTGGGCTGCCCGGTGACTGCAGAGGGAGGGCCAGCTGGGGGGCGGGGGGGAACTCCCACTGCCGGACAGAAGCAGAGGGTCTGCCTGTCTTTTCCCCAAAGGGTCTTCCTGGCGTTGGTGGAGGAGGCGGCGGACCGGGGTACTGTGGTTGCCCAGGGAGGAGGCAAGGTGAGCTGGCTTGGGACGTCTTCCTGAAGACGGGGCCGAGCCTGTAAAATAGAACCCAGTGGCTACACGGCCTCCACAGAGGTTGGCTGCTGGGGTGGAGATGCGATGAAAGAGCATGTTCTGTGAGTGAGGGACGCTGACCTGGGCTGGCTCCTGGAGTCCCCCTGGCCCTCGGCCTTTTACGACCCTGAGCGACTCCTCGTCCATGTCCTCCTGGGCGCGTTACCCAGCAGCACCCAGCCCCATCCCTATCCGGCCTTGGTCGGCACTGGAGAGTGTCTGGGGTGCCCGAGCAGCACGCAGAGAGCTGGGAGGGTCTGAGGAAGCAGTGTGGTCGAGCCTAGGGGACAGAGGTGCGAGCAGCAGAGTCAGGGCCTTGGGGCTGGCGCACCTGGCCTGACCCGGCCCGTACCTGAGCCCTTCTGCTCCGGCAGGCCCTGCTCCCGCTGGCCCTGGAAGGCACTGACGTAGGGCAGATAAAGGCGGCTCAGGCTCTCGCCAAGCTCACCATCACCTCCAACCCAGAGATGACCTTTCCTGGCGAGCGGGTATGTGTCTTTGGCCCCAGGCCCTGATGTCTTCCTTCGGTCAGCGCTGCTGCTGCTCCTCCTCGGGAAGCAGCAGTTGTATTGAGCCCCCAGGAGGGGAGAGCAGCCTGGGGCTCAGGGGTCTTCCTTGCAGGGTCTGTGGAGCTGGGAGGAGCAGCCCTGACAGGCGGGCTGCATCCACAGGTCTACGAGGTGGTGCGGCCCCTCGTCTCCCTGTTGCACCTCAATTGCTCGGGCCTGCAGAACTTCGAGGCGCTCATGGCTCTAACGAACCTGGCGGGGATCAGTGAGCGGCTCCGGTGAGACCCCTCAGGACACGGGTTGTGGGCAGGGCATCAGCATCCGTATTATCCCCGCAAGAGCCCCGGACAGTGTGGGCAGCCCTCCACAGTCCTCGGCTCTTTGGAGCCTCACGGTGAACCCTGCTGGGAGAGGATGCATCATTGGAGGTGATTGAGCAGGGAGCTCAGAGGGGTGATGGGGCCGAGGAGAGGCACAGCCCTGCAGGCAGGCTCTGGAGCCCCGACAGCCTGGATTGGGATACCGACTTCACCCACCACTAGTTGTGGTATCTCAAGCCGAGCACTTAACCCCTCCTTGCCTCAGCTTCCTCATTGTGAAAGGGGGTGATTATAGTCCTCCCCAGTTGGAAGGGACGCACAGAAGTGTTTTACCCTTTGGTGTCTGGCTCTGAGCTGCGTGCTAATAGGCGACAGCTCTCAGACCTAACCCTGCCCCTCCCTTGGCGCATGACTCACCACTCAGCCTCTTAGTCCGCTTCCGTAAAGTCACGTGAAATAAAGCAGGTGCCCGGGTCAGGGTGAGTGCTCATGGGTTCAGGGTTAGCATCACCACCAGCCAGGCCTGCTAGCTCCTAGTTGAGGGATTATGATCATTCCTGCATGGTTGGAAGGGAGGACCCTGGGCACGGCTGAGGGAAAGCCCTGGCCCACAGCTTGATTTGTCCGGGGCGACGGGGGTAGGGGACTCAGAGGCTCTCCTGCTGCTTGGCTGCCCCCCCCAGACAGAAGATCTTGAAGGAGAAGGCTGTGCCCATGATTGAGGGCTACATGTTTGAGGAGCACCAGATGATCCGCCGGGCTGCCACGGAGTGCATGTGTAACCTGGCCATGAGCAAGGAGGTGAGGGCCGGCCGCCACCAGCGGGGCTGGAGCAGGCCAGAGGAGTGGGGGACCCCTGCCTGACTTGGTCACACCCCTCATCCGGCCACAGGTGCAGGAGCTGTTTGTCGCTGAGGGCAATGACCGGCTGAAGCTGCTGGTGCTGTACAGTGGAGAGGAAGATGAGCTGCTGCGGAGGGCGGCTGCCGGGGGCCTGGCCATGCTCACCTCCCTGCAGCCCGCCCTCTGCAGCCGCATCCCACAAGTGGTCAGTGCCCCCACAGCGGGCAGGGGAGGGCCTGGCCAGGAGGCCCTGGTGGGGGTGTGGTGGCTCGGTAATGACCCCCTGCCTCGTGTCCCCCAGACCACACACTGGCTGGAGATCCTGCAGGCCCTGCTCCTGAGCTCCAGCCGAGAGCTGCAGCACCGGGGCGCCGTGGTGGTGCAGAACATGGTGGAGGCCTCCAGGGAGATCGCCAGCACCCTGATGGAGAGCGAGACCCTGGAGCTCCTGTCAGTGCTGGCCAAGGGCGAGGAGGGCCCCGTCACAAGGGCGGCCGCCGCCTGCCTGGAGAAGGCAGTGGAATACGGCCTTATCAAACCCAACCCGGATGGAGAGTGAGCGCTGCCCCTCAGTGACATGGCCCAGGCACACCTGTGCACAGGCACACTGCACCTGTCGCTGCACTGGGAGCCAAGAGCTCAGCCGCTTTGGCTAGATGGGACTGGGATGCGGGACATTCTGGCCTCCGCTATCCAGCTGCTGCCCTCTGCTGGCCTCACTCAGCCCCACAGCCCTGCTCTGCAGCCCTGTCTCCAGCCTCACGCACTGGGGCCCTTTCCTGCACTACTGAGATGACTGCCGCGGGTAGCTGGATCCCTAGCAGCAGCAGAGGCACACCAAGCAGTCGCCTCAGCTGTGGGCATGCCCGAGGCCTGCTCGCTGACTCACCTTGACCAGCTAATAAAAGTTTGTGGAACTCTTTAATTGTGCCCTGTGCCTGGGCTGGGAGGGCTGTCTGGGGACTGGCCATGGGAGGGCCCCATGGAGTGACCAAGCAGCAGCAGAGCCACCACTGGAAGGAATCTAATGGAGTCCTCACCCGGGGTGCTCTGAACCACCTTTTAATCTTGCTGGAGAGAAAAAGGGTTAATAAGCCTAGGAAGTGAAACAAGCCCTGGTGGGGTACAGACTCCTCCCAGTAAGCTGCCTCTTCCCTGCCCTTTGTTTAAGAGCATTGTGAGTTCTGGGGCTTTTACTCAGGCTGGGATCGGGATTTCTAGCCCTAGAGGTGCTGGGGAAATCCTCTCCCTGCGCAGGGAAGCCAGAGCCCTTTTGCAGAAGAGAGCCACACCTGCCCCCTGCAGATCCCCTCCCCTCAAGGTCTGTTCCCGCTCTCGCGAGAGTCTCGCTGGAAGCTCACTGGATGATGGTGCTAAGTGACAGGTCCCTGAGCCAATGGGAGATACAGCCAGCCGAGCGCTAGCTAGGAGGCCTGCTTCCTGTTTGGACATGGGGGGGGGGCCTGCAGGAGGGAGGCTACAGCTGTCCCAAGCTGGGGGAATGGCCGCGACCCCCGACAGGGGCTGGAACCTTAAGGACTGAGCTGGGACCGGAAGCCCGCCACGGGGACCGGAAACAGGTGAGCACGGTTCTGAAAGTGCCCCGCCTCCCAGCCGCTGACGTCACCGCCCTCACCGGTGATTGGCTTGAGGGAGGTGACTGCAGCCTGTGGGCCGCCTCGCCCTGCGCGGCTCCTTCAAACTTCAAATTTCCTTCGTGTGTCCGTCAGTGCTGTGGCGGCTGGCCGCTTTGCTCGCCGCCGTCGTTTCTGCGCGATTAATCCACCGGAAGGACTCACCTGAGAAGGGCACAAGGTCAGGATCAAGGTCAGCAACTGCCCTGGGATGGTAATGGACTCGGTAGGGATTAGGAGGCCAGATTGTGGTCCAGGAGAGATCAGGCTTCAAAGGCATGGAAGTACCTCTGAAATCCCCATCGTGCCGAAAATGGTGTTTGGAGAAAGTCGCATTCTGTCATAACCACCAGATTGTATTTGTCTCCCCATTCAAGCGTGACCTCCATAGAGGCAGGCACTGGCCGCTGCTGGCCAGGAATAATGGCGTCTTGGAAGATGGTGCTTTTGAAGTTTATATAAAACAGTTGCTATCCAGTCGATTTCAACTTATCACCCTGTGGGTCCGAGTAGAACTGTGCCCCGCAGGGTTTTCAGAAGTAGATCACCAGGCCTTTCTTCTGAGGCCTCTGGGTGGACTTCAACCCAGCCTTGCAATCAGTAGCCACTTAGGTTAACTCTTTGTAACATTCAGCTCCCCCGCCCCCCTGTGGTTTTAAATCCCTGAAAACTAATTAGCATCAGCGGTCATCCTGCCAACTCTAAGTACTGCATTTAATAAGCTAATTAAGCCTGTGTGTTTACTATAGTTAGTGCTAGCCCTGGATGTATTCTATGCATTTAGTACAAAAATCCTAAGAGATTGGTACAATCAACTCTCCTTTTAAAACTGAAAATGGAATTAGATTCAGAGATTAAGTAATGATGACATCAAGGTGAGCACGTTGGAAACTACAAGCCTCTGGGAAAAAGATGAGGCTCTCTACTCCTATAAAGAGCTGCAATCGGAGAAACTCACAGAGGCAATCCTACTCCATCCTGTAGGGCCGCTATGAGTCAGCAAGTGAGGGAAGGCCCCATTTTTCTCTCTTGAAATGGTAGATGAGTTTGAACTCCCTTCGCTGCCATTAGCAGTCCAGTGCTTACCCCACAGCGTCACCAGGGCTTCTGCCTGTGAGGTGCTATCAAGTTGGCTCTGATTCATCGCGACCCTATCCACAACAGAATAAAACATCTGGTCCTGCGTCCTCCTCACAGTTGCTATGTTTGAGCCCATTGTTGCTGCCACTGTGTCAAACCATGTTATTAAGGTTCTACTGCTCTTTTGTTGACCGTCTGCTAAGCATGATAGCTCTCTCCATCATCACTTCTAAGAAATGTTCTGGCTGTTGGCTAATTCCTCCAGGATGGAGTGGTTCCTTTTTTCTGGCGTGCCATGATATAGACAATATTCTTTGCCAATGTCATAATTCACAAGCATCAATTCTTTAGACTTCCTTATTCGTTGTCCAACTTTTGCATGCACATAAGGTCACTGAAAATAAGCCAGGCACACCTTAGTGCTCAGAGTGACATTTTTTGTTCTTTGCAATACTTTATTTTGCCCAGTGCAATAAGTCACTGGATTGATTTTCTTGACTGCTGCTTCCATGAGCATTGATTGTGGATCCAAATAAATTGAAGCCATTTAGTTAGTAAAATGAAATCATTGGGACTTCAGTCTTTTCTCCAGGGGGAAAACATTTTCTTCAGTCTTTTTCCCATGGTGTTGTTTATTGGTCCAGTTGGGGGGATTTCTCTTTCCTTTACATTGAGGTGCATCACCCATACAGAAAGTCGTCGTCTTTGACCTTCATCCGTAAGTGCTTTCTACTTTCAGTAAGCAAGTCCCTGTACAGGTACTGCCTCCCAAATGTCCCACTGTGTATGAAATCCGAGGGCGTCAAGTTCAGCTCCCCACCTCTCTCCATCTGAATTATGTGCTTGTGGAGAGGTTACTTCCTCTGGGAGGCTCAGTTTCTTCCTTCATAAAATGAGACCGGCTTTAGTTAGTTCCCCAGATTACATGGAATGTGCCAGATTGGAGGGAAGTTGGAGCTGGGCAGGGGCCTCAGATCCTAGGCTACTTAAAATATCTCATGTCCACTTGGTGCGCACTTTGAACCAGCGGGGATGACAGGGAAAGTCGCTCGTTTGGGGCCAGACTCCAGACAGTTCGTGTTCTTTCTACATCGGGTAAGACCTCTGGAGCGCAGCAACTATTTGTGGAGCGGATACTGGCTGCCCCGATGGTACTAGTGGTTTGCCCTCTACCACAACTGAAACCCACCTGGCAGCCGTGGAAGAGAGGCCTGGCAATCTGCCTCAGTGAGGATTACAGCCACCAGCACCCGAGGAAGCTCAGTTCTCTGAAACCCATGGAATGACCGAAACCCATGGAATGACCGAATGTCCCAATCCACTAGACCTCAAAGGGGTGGTTTCGGTTTGGTGGTTAGGAGGTTGTATTTTCCCCAATGTACAGACAAAGCAGCTGCCACTCCCGGAAGGTCCGAGGCTCACACACAGGCGTCGCAGCCAGAATCTCCTGGATCCCACGACCCACCCCAGCCAGAAGGGGCCAGCAAAAGGCGCTGCCGGGGCATGGCCGCGGAGCGGTCCGGAGCGTGGTTCGGCTTCGGCTTCTGCGGCTTCGGGCAGGCCCTGGGCTCCGGGTGCGGGCGGCAGGTGCACAGCCCGGAGCCGCTGGAGGCCCCGTGCCCCGGAGGCCTGGACATC